TGTTGCCCCCAGTATTATATCGTAATATGTTTTTCTTTTTACTTTTCAGAAATTAAGTAGAGTTTTTTACCTCTAGCCCGTTGTCCGATTTATATGTAATTTATATATGGTCCTGCTCTGAGACATACATTAATGAAATTAAGGTTAAAAGTGAACAAATCATACTCCGATTTCGCACGTAGCCCAGCAAACATACAATTCATACACAAATAATTGAGTATTTGTCTATTAGAGTTCGAACCACATTTTTTGTGCTTTGAATTTAGCTTGTTACGCTCCCGGAAGTCAATTTATACATATGTATGCTGCTGAAAAAGAAAAAAACTTTACTCTCATTTCATGTATGTACTCGTATGTACAATATTTCGTTTGTTCTTTTCCACGTTATAAAAACAATTTATGACTTTATGTTTATTTAAAGAAAGAAAAAAGTTGCCCATAACAACGAGTACTCTTTTGTATACGCTGAGTGCTTTTGCTGCGTATGAACGTTTAGGTATGTTTGGGTGTAGTGTTTTTATACGTCAATATATATAATTGGCGCTTGGTAACCGCTGAAGCGATTTTCGGCCGAGCTTCTGTCAACTTTGTGGTTTTGTGTCTCGATGATTTTCCAAACAAATGGAGGGATCTACAATTTATACTGAGCCGCCTCCGAACGGCTGATGGTTTTTTATGAGGAGCTTTCAGAGCGTTTGACATCCCCTGTCGAGGGGCGACCGTAATTGGAAAATTTGCCTTATTCTTTATATAAATTAATTTTCTACAACTTTTGGATGTTGGTCGTACCAGGATTTGAGCCCGGCTCTTCCGAATAGCAGTACGCAATACTGACCACTCGGTCAATGCGGCCGCCAACGTTAATAAATACAATAAATCTGGTCACTTGAAAGTAGTTTTTAAGCACATTGAAACGCCAATTATAACAATTTTTTCTCAGTTTTTTTTTGCATGCACGTCAATGCTCTATTTGAAATGTAGATTGTTCTGGTACCGCTGTGATTGTATGTATGTCATTTAAATTGGTTTACGCATAAAATTGACAGAATGGCAGCTGATTGAATTGGTATTAAATTACGAGATAATTAAGTTGTTAAAAGAGAATTTAGGGAGTGAAGTTTAAGGCAGTAAACAATTTTTGTAAATTATTTAATGTTTTTGAGCTACTTTTTAAGCAATGACCACCCAAGAACGACTGACATTATGGCTGATTATATTCATTGGAACTTTAATGGGAATAAATAAACTATTATTATTTTTCAATTCTTTACAAATATTGTATCTGTACACATACGTGTACAATACATTTGCATTCGAACCATTCAGCAATCAGCTCCATACACTTTAATTGCGCAAGAACCACTTATTCCAAGTTGTCATGCGCGCTGAGAGGCAAACGCTCTGAAAAGTCAATTCAATTCCCCAAGCGCTTTCATGAATTTTCAGTTTTTTTTATTTTATCATTAATAAAATTTGTACGCGTAATTGCCAAGTGTTACATTTTTTCCGCTAATGAATATGTATAAAACCAATCATAATGTCGATTAGCTGCTCATTAAGTTTGAAAAATTGTTAATAATAGTTCGCCTCTGGTAAAGGAGTTCCTGGTAATTTATTTGAGTTTAAACCATTGAGTCATTGATTGTGTGCCTGTGTGTGTTGTTATCTTGCTAATCAACCACTTAAAGTGCAATTAAAAATTAAATGCTGGGCTAATTCAATTATTTGGCGATTTATATGCAATCAATAAATCTGCATCAGTGGCAAGAAGTTGGAGTTAAATAATAATAATAATAATACTGACTGAATTAAGAAATATTCCGCATATATATCTCTTTTGAAAATTATGGTGGGATTAAAAATACGGTAGTTGAACGGTCGATAAATAGATGTATTTTAGTGAACCGAAGGATACGTGGACTAAGAGTTGCTTCAAATAAATGTAAAAGAATCGATTCTGGCCACTCCCAGGTAAATCGCTTGCCTTAACTTCTACACATTTCCCCATATCTGGTTCGGTATGTCGAAGAAACGCCCGCCAACAAGCAGGAGGAAAGCTCGACGTCGGAAAACTGTAATCAAAATAGGCAGCCGAACGAATTTTCACTCGACTTGCGCACCACCAACTAGAAAAACGGAAGCTGGGGAACGGCTTTACAACATCCCTACCTACTATCGTTACGGCAACAATTGACAGTGTCAGAAAAAGAGCTGGTACACCTGCCTTATGCTGAAGAGGCACTGATGATGCGACCATCTGATCAGTCGGTGTTGATCCTCTGCTCGTCGGCAGCAGTAAATACCGCAGCTATGAATTATTCGATGTAGTACTTGCTTGTGCAGGCAGAGGAAGAGAAAAACATCCACAGCGTAAGAAGGATCAGGTGGAAAGCGACTGGGCTGCACTTGGTAGTTTTTGCTGGCGACATATCGCCTAATATTGATTCGGCTATAATGGCGCAAACGGTGCCTGTGCCAAAGAAGTAGAAGAAAATATCTTGAAAAAAATATTAATAAATTTTTTTTGAAACAAATTACACTTGCTCTATTTATGTTTGAAACTCCAACAACAGTAAAATAGAACATTTATGTGTTTGCATTTAATTGGCGGTTTACAGTTTACAGTTAACAGGTAACAATCAACATTTCAAAACCATTAATTTTAGAAATGCTATAAATTAACAGTTAATAAGGTGAAATAAACGCCATCCAATGATCAAGCGGGCGTTACGCCCACTAATCACTCATTAAGATAAATCTGTAAGTACTCAAGTACTTAATAGATATATGTATGTGTGTCGTTGGTGTTTACCGTTTAATAACCAACAATTGTCATTAAATTATCATTTAATTTTGCTTTGCACATCTTGCAAGTAATTTACGGGTGTCAATGTGCCGTTGTACCGGTGTGCCAGTGTGTGTGTGTGTGTGTAAACAAATGGAAATCGCAAAATGTGGAAAGTGAATGACTAACAACAACACCACAAAAAGGGGTGTTAAAAGTGCAGTCATGACTCCGACTCGAGCATCATCCACAGCAACATCAACAACACACGAGAATTGACTTGAATTAACATTCGTTGGAACAAAGTTAAGCGCTGACAGTTGACTTAATCACTTTTATTTTACAATGTCTGTATGTATATACAAGTAAATTTATTGAAATTATATATTCCTTAACTCATCTGTAGCGTGCTAAAGGTGACAATTTCGATTTTATTTTTTATGGGCTCATCGCTTTGATTTGCTGTAACTAAATTTATTTACCTCTAGGAAATGGGCATTGATTGCCTTGTTTGTTGTTATGTTGTTTGCGTACATATACAATATGTAAATATGTGAATGTGATGTAAGAAAAAGTGAAATTATTAATTTTTCTCAAATTCATTTTGTTTGCAAATTTTCATTGTTTCTCTTTGCATACTTTGATTTTCATGGGAATTTCACATTACTCAATGAGCTATTCATTCCAGTTAACTAATAAATGTGTGTACTGAATTCAAACTCACATTTTATTGCCGTTATTACAACAGATGTTCACATTTCCAAGCATTTTGTAGGTTACTTGTCGGAGGCATTTTCATTTTATTGCATCTCGGCTAAATAACTTCCCTTTGGAATTTTTTAGAAAAATATTAGATTATTTGATCTGCGAATTATGGACTTATTGGGATGTTAAGAGATGCTAATAAAACATCAAATGGGTATGCCAACATCCATTACTGGACAATTTCAACAATTCCTAATTTCCCGATTTTTTTACGTTGTCGGCTTGTGGATGGGTTATTTAGATTTTCCTCTCAAGCAAAATAGAATTTCCATGGTTTTCTGCCGTGCCGAAGCCTGTATACTTTTCACGAGTTTTCCACGATCTTAGCAAATTTCCGGTATTTAATTTTAGGATTAAATACTAATTCTCAAAAATGGGCTGGACGGTGTTTCGTTGATAAAGTTTTCCGATTTTGATGTTTTTCGTCGACAATGTTTATTTGCATAGAATTTCACGTTCTCAGATGCCCCATTGACGGTATAGAAAACAATTTGGAACCACTTGAAGAAGGCTGGATACACAAAGGAGCTAGTGTTCGCGTGCCACATGAGTTAACGAGAAAAAGCTCGTGAACCGAAGGGCAAACAGCGAATCATTGCTGACTCGTAACAAAATCGATGAAATCGATCCTTTGCAAAAACGGTCTCCAAGCCAAGATTGATGGACACGAAGAGTTTGTTGTGTGGAATGATCTAGTATGGCCTACTCTTCAAGGCTAAACTATTATTTCGAACCTTGGCTAGCAGCAATTGGACCGTCTGAAGAAGGCAATCACCCAGAATCGTCCAGCTTTTGCCCGTAGGCGAGAAATTGTGTTTCAAGAGGACAATACCAGACCACAAAAGTTTCAAAAGCTTTGTTGGGGGAGTCTTATGAGTATTTCTTAGCGCTCGGACCTCACACCAAGTGAAGACCATAATTTCCTGCGTATGTAGAATGGTTTGCCGGGTGAATAATTGACTACTAGAAAAGCCTGTGAAAATCGATTATCCCAATTTTTCCCAACGGAAACAAGAGTTTCTATGTGAGAGACACTATGATATTACCTACAAAATGTCAAAAAGTTGTAAAGTTAAACGGTGTATATTGAAATAAATAAACCAATTCTCACTATGCCGAATGAAGCCTTGGGTTTAATTAAAAAATAATGGATAACTTCTTACTTGGAGCTAATATATGTATATAGCTATTTACTGAGCCTGAGGCCTCTTCCATTACCATTATAATGAGTTTAGCTACCCAAAGAGGACATCAACAAAATAATAATTTTACATACTAATTTTACATAAGCGTTAAAGTAAATTAACAGAAGAGTTTGCAGATTTCCTGCAATATTTGTCAAATAATGCTCACTTAAAATGTTGCTCAAATTGTTATTGGCAAATTTGTTTGTATTTTAATTAGTGAAAAAAAAGTATTGTAATATATTCTGTTTTTCTCTTCATTTCAGCTTTTTCCGCCAGCGACATCAACACACACAAATGCATAAACCATTTGTAGATATCACCACATCTATGTCACAATGAAGAGTATTATTTCTCACTTCTATAGTAATTATGGCTTTAGTTTTATTTATGTGGTAAGTTAAATGTCTCTTTCGATATGTACATACGTGTATGCACAAACATTATTTTATTTTGTGCAAATATATACTTTGGGTTATGTACTTATTAAATCAACGTTAACTCGCATGAATTTTTCTGGCCTTAATTTCTTGTGTATATGTATATGTATGTGCAACCCCAAATATACATTTGTATGTATGTATATATTTATTTTATGCGCGTATTAATTTCTACTACTAAGAATGTTTGAAATCTAAAATTCTTTTAATATTTTTTTCTTAACTAAAAAAAAATTTGCCATGAAAAATATTTCTCTGAATTTATTTCATTTTTTTTATAAATGGTTTCATTATCAAATATACAAATAAATCAATTATTTCGGAATTTTGTGCTGACAATTAGAGTTTAGTGATGAGTAATATGTTTTCTCTTCGCAGATACTAGTTTGTACAACATTAGCGCACAGTGTACCGTCTTGCGGTTTATATGGAGCGCCGCCGTGTCAGTTTGTACCAGCGCCGCCGGGACAAACGCCATCATGCGCACGACCAGGCCGAACCTATTGCGAGCATGTGGACAATTATCCAACGTAAGTCGGTTTTCCAAAATCTTTATGTCGTAGTAAGTAAGTGCATATAGTTCTTTTGAACAAAGAAATGAAGAAGAAATCAAACCCTTCGAAAATGTCAGCTCAACAGCCCTCTTATGTCATTTTGGTTAGCAACTGGCGGCTCTTTACGCAATTCGCCATGACAATACTTACTATAACAAGCACTTAACCTTCAGCTATAATCAGGCCGCAAGTTCTAAGTTTATATAACGAATCTGCAATACCCATTTGCTCCTGAAGACCAAGGCTGTATCGTAACGACGAATTTCCTGTTAATCCAAAAAAGTTCAACCGATTTGCTGGAAATAATTGAAATTGTTATCGTTAAAGCAGTCATCAAAATACATTTTATTTCGTTTTCATGCGAAGCAAAGTACTCTTTGTGCGAGAATTTCTATACCACACGTATATGAAATAACTATTCATAGTAGTCAAAATGGAAGGGTAGCCAAGCTCTTCCCCAAATGTTTAAGTATTTGACTTTCCCACTCTTTTGTTATAAGCATATTTTGAAGTCTTGCTTATGTTGTCGACGTGGACGGAAATAAAGTAGGCAAGTTTTAGAAGATTTTACTGATGCCTCGCTCACTTCGCATTCTTATTTATATAATTTCGACAATAGTTTATGATCAATACTTTCACACAACATCCTGTGGGGATCCCTACTACCTTAGAAATACTCTTCATGGATAATCCCCGAGAAAAAATACCTTTAACAAAAGCTCTACCCAAGAAGCTTATAGTTCTAGGCAAGCCCACTTAACGGTTCGTCGAACTTATTTGGCCCTAATTCTCGAATTTGATAAGGTTACTTATGGCAGGATCGTCCGCAATTCTTGCTTTTGGTATAATTTTTGGTATATTTATAATATAGTAAAAAAAATATTTCTTCAACGCGTAACCAAACCCCAATACATGACTTTGCTCTTTCTTTACCTAAGGTAAAAAAACCGCCAGTAAAAAATATGTTTAGGCTAGCAAATTCGCATTTTTTTCAAAATTATTGCTAATTAAATAAAGGCCAACCGAATCAGGTAATTTTCTGGCAAAACCACTCTACAGACTGACTTATGTTTAAGCAATCAAGCAAAGCCGGCAAAGGTGACGCTTACGGTGACGATGTTGGCGCCAACATTTTTTTTATTGTTTTCAAGTGCTTGCCAGCAGATGATCATATCTCACCTGGTCTAGAAATAAAATGTCAAAAAGAGATTAATACAAATAGCGAATAGTTTAATAGTGTGTTTTCCAATTAAAAAGATTTGTGTTTTGTGATTTTTTTTTTTAGATAAAAATATGGTTGTCTTCGGCATTGAAATTTATGAAAAATTTTAAAATTTATAAAAATCGTTTTGACACCTCCGAAAGTGTTTTTATGATTTAATAATTTGTATAAAAAGAGTCTTATTTTAAGAAACATATGTATAAATGTGTTTGCCTGTGTGTGCGCATACTTTATATGTTACTTAATTGCCCATACGGATCTAATAAGAGCAACCCAGAAGTGGTTGAAGGCCTGAATGGCTATAAATTACTGCTTACGTTCGGTTGTAGATTTGTTTACAAAAATACATAAGTCTAAGTTAGTGGTAATAAATTAAGTTTAGCGCCAAGTGCTGTCGGTAAGGAAAGTTGTCAATAAAATCAGAGACAATCAAAAATAAACTACTAAAACAAACAAACCACTTAAGATAACGCGAATTGTACAACAAAGCCAACAACTTGTAGTCGCTTCTTAATGTACGAGTATAAATATTCATTGGCGTTATTACGCCTAAATTAAGTTAAAATAAATATTTCAACGGATATAATTAGGCCTGGTTTGATTCGAATTATATTCCAGTTCAAGACTCAGTTAAATTAATAATATAATACTTTTCGACGCCATTTCGGCCCTAAATTTAATTCAATAATGCGTAAAAAATATTGTATATATATAATTGGCGCTTTGTAACCGCTTAAGCGATTTCCGCCGAGCTCCTCCTCCAATCTGTGTTTTTGCGTCTTGATGTTGCTCCAACAAGCGGAAGGTTCTCATTCATCCGAACGGCTGATGATTGTTTTATGAGGAGCTTTCGATTTTCGTGTCGGAAGTACACTCCGAGGGGTTGACATTCCCTGCCGAGGGGCGACCGCATTTAAAGAATTTAACATGATTTTTTATTTTATTTAATTTTCTAAACCTTTTGAATGTTGGTAGAACGGGGCTTTGAACCCGAGCCTTCCGAACGGCAGTAATATTTTTTTTAATTTTACGAAAGTAAATAAACTGAAATGAGAAGAACACAATAAAATAATAATAATAAAAATATAAATATAAAAATGTGGCATAAAAATTATTTAATATCAGGTTGTCAAATATCTCTCTTCCGCTTTTTTGCTCTTCATTCAATGCTTTATAAAAAGTGTTACAGTGATCGGATTTAGTTAAAATATGCGCCGTTTTGTTCGATGATCTGTGTCCATGGTTTGGTGACTAGCTCCCATCTCCTGGGCGATGTCACGAGATGCCATATGCCGGTCTAACTCGATGTATTCCATGATTTGATCGGTATTTGTCGTCACAGGTCTTCCGCCGGCTGGCTTATCCATGGTATCGTTTTCACCGGCTCTGAATCGTCGAAACTATTCCTCTGCGGTTCGAAATGATAGAGTACCATCCCCCAAAACACCATTAATCTCACGGAACGTTTCTCTAGCGGATTTGCCTTTAACGAAGGAAAACTTTAAAATGGCGCGAGTTTCGGCGTTAGTGAACTCCATGTTTACACGCCTATAACTATTGAACGCAATATCCAAACTAATCATGCTTGTTTTGTAGGTTATGTCAAGACTTTTCAAATTATGTATATATCAAAGGTTGCCAGATACGAGCTCTGTAGCATAGTACATAGCCGCGAAATTCAAAATACAAAAAAGCGGAAGGGAGATATTTGACAACCTGATATAATATCAATAAAATAATTAAATATAAAAAAATTTAGCAATAAAATAAGAAAAATATGGTTATATAATAAAATAAAATAAAATAAGAAAAAATAGATTAAAAAAAATAAAAAGAATTGAATGAAATTAAATGAAAAATAAAATAAATTAAATTAAATTAAAACCACGTTAAAATAAAATGAAAGGGAATTCAATTAAAAAACGCTGCTTTTATTCTTCACACCACCGTAAGCCTGTAAAAAGCAAAAGTGAGGTGTAACTTAACACTTAGACCGACTCTTGTTAGGGCCAAATTTGCTTCGTAAAGTTCATTCAAAACTCGGTCATAACATCGAATCAACACTCGGATTTCTCATTCGCGTCACGTGCGGGCAGACAAAAAACTGAAAAATGAAAATATTTACAAAACGGTAAAAGTGTGCGAGACTTAAATACAAAAACAAAAGTCACAAAAAGAAACTAAATGAATTTAATTATAACGCTGGCAATCCATCAGTTTATTGTGATTTTGAGCGACAAAGCAAACAGACGGACGGATGAACGGTTAGACAGACCGTTTAAATTACTCGGTGACTGGGGCAGCAAAACAGGTATTTTCTCCAAAAGATCAACGATAGGCCAGTAGACAATGCATAAAAAATTCAAGGAAAAAAATAAAAACTATTGAGTTGTGTAAGAAACCTTCGAATTTACTGTCTACACGCGTATGTGTGTTTAAATTAAAAAAATCTCATCTTTTACATGTGTAAATACATGTGTTAGTTGGTTTTTACCAATCTTTTATAACAACCCCTCAGCAATTTCGCCGCAGGCGTAGGAGGTTTTGAGACAACTTTTTGGCATCTTCATTTTTGGATTTTTTTTAATAAGGTTAACAAAGGTGGAATATGAAATTCATAGAGACGAATGGAAAAATTCATTTGAAGGAGTAATATGCGGCGTGCCCTTTGTATAATCTTCCTATCGATGGTCATGAGACCCTAAAAACTTCAGTTTTTAAGTTGAAACTCTAACTACTTTTTGTAGACTTCTGGATCCCTTTGTTAGGAGTTAGAAATTAGAACTTAGCTTTATCCAGATATCCTTTTTGTGACCTGAGAAACCCTCCACCTTTCTCACGGCTATTGTGTAGTTAGCGTTGACGGCAGTTTGCGATCATTGGGATTCACGTCGAGTACTAAAATAAGTACAATTCCAATCCTTTTATAAAATACACTTCGTGGGATCTTAAATAAATGTGGTATTTTAATCCCCTTAGCTACTAAGTCATACATACTGGGCTGACGAATAGAAATAAATCTCAAGTTCGGCTCTTTCTTGCACTAAATATAACCTCATTTGATATATAATTTCCGTTACCTCCATCCACCCAGCTATCTCATCAAACATCTCGTACACAAATGGGGTTACGAAGCGAAAAATCTGCTTGTCGACGAGTCTTGGGATGAATTCGCCGCATTGACGTGGCATGAATCACCCGTCTTCTACGATCCAGCGTTCATTTTCTCACATCACCGTCCCTATAATGGCGGGGCGAATGGCGCTGATGACTTCAATGGCTACAAATATGGTACACCCGGTGGTAACGGCAAGGCTGGAGGAGTTGGCGCTGCCAGTAAAAATGAAAATACATTTATCATAACAAAAGCACAGACAACAGAGACACCAACGTGAGTGGAACGGAAAACTTGCTTTTTGACAGAATTTTCAAAATTTTTGCATTACAAAATTTCTAGTTTCCTGTTCTACACCTCCGCCGGTCAGCATTTGAATAAGAATCAGGTGAACAGCTATAATTTGGGTGGCAGCGCAGGTGATGCCGGTGGTAGTGCGCATAAGGTGTCATCCAACAGTCCAGCCTTTTGGCTGAAGCGCGTGTCGCGCAATGTGGACGGTGTGGTGGGCGTTGAGGTTGGCGGTAATTTTAGCGCTGCCCTGACAAAATTCGACCCCGAGTCACAGCAAGATACGCTGAGTCGCGCGAAACGCAGGTAAGTGCGGGCGAACGCTGAAAGTTTTAATTTATCTTTCATACCGACTCTTCTTAGTGCATCTTCCTCATCTACATCGAGACTATCTCGCGACGTTTCACTCAATATGGATCTCTTGGACATCATTGGCGTCGATAAGGGCGCTAAAACGCGTACGAAGCGTCAAAGTCCCGGCAGGGAGACACTCTGCAAGACCACATCACAATTTATTACACCACAAGCGGCGCTAAATAATAAAGGTGAGTTGGGCGAATTCGATGTGTGATATCGACAGCTGCATTGTTATGGTAAATATCTCGTTGTTGTTTTATTATAGGAAACTGGATGTTTGTGGTGAACGAGCCGAGTACGGCACGCCAAATGGTCAAAGCGGAGTTGTGCGCGTAAGTTTGCTATACATAAATATACAGTTATATATTTGCTATAAACAACGGGTGCTCAAGGGGTACATCAAGGTTTTTAGATGCAAATGAAGAAGAACAGGGTGACAAAAATGTAGAAGGTTTATGTTTGGGATAACTGAAAAATTCATTTATGGAAACATTTCTTACACTGAGAAGGTACGCCCTGTTGTACAGGGGAGTGAAGGGGATGGGAAAAACCATTTCTTTGTGATGTTACGTATTTTTGTCCCGCTCAGACCAAGAATCTCTGGAAACCCACAATTAATATCTCTGCAGAGAACGAAGGTGTAAAGGAGAGATAGGAAGCGCTCTTTTTAATAAGATCACATCAAAATTTTTAAGGAACACTGAACTGAATTATATTTTCCCTAAATTTGCGGCGGAATATCATATCTAGAAATGAACGCACTACTCAAATGGTTTAGTTGTAGCTCGTAGTACACAACAGCCGTCTGGCACACCAAGACGCTCTTTGTATTCGATACCAAAATTCCTACTTTAGATCCAATTTTTACAAGCGTCGAACACTCCCTGACGAGCGGCGACTTTATTTTTTTAATCAAATAAATTTGGTGGTAGAAGGATTTGAACCCCCTCCTTCCGAATGGCACTGGTGTGTAGTTAATTCTAAGCCAACTCCGACCTAGTCAACTTGTTTGATGGGCTTGTATTTCTTTTCAGTAATACACTCAGAGGACTTGAAATACCCTAAGCAATGCTGACCATAACTCCGAAAAAATCTTGTCATTCTTTTTAAAATAATTTAACAAATTTTCGTTGTTGATCTGGTCAGAATTCGAAACCATAACCTTCCGCCAACCATAACCTTCCGGGAAAAGTTGAGGCAACACGTGGTTACATAAGTTATCATAGACATTCATAGACATGGCAACCCTTGCAGTAGTGATCCGATGTAAATCCAACCTTTAGTAGTTAATCCAATAAATCATTTTTTAAGGCGTAAAGAAGGGCTTTCCACTCATACTCTCCCTACGAACTCAATCTCCCTACATATTTACATAATAAAGTTTTCAAAAATTGGGTCAAAATCCAGCAATTTCAATATTTTTTTCAAACATAAAAAATAGTGTGTTCTTACCCTTAGCCCCACAATGCAATGTTTACATAATCACAGACTTTTCGTGGTATTAAAAAGTTATAATTGGTACTATATGAACTCTTTATATTTTTTTTCTAATTTTTTTTTGGCAAGAAAAAAACCTACCCTTTAAATTCCCTTTGCGCGCGCGCTGGTCGTCACTCTTATTGACACAAAAATACTGTATGCATGAAGAAAAAATAATAATCAAAGGCGAAGCTGACACAACCAACTTAACCCTAAAACGGACGAATCAATCAGAAGGGTACAGATTAGCTGCGTGCAAGCTTTCAAAGCGAACCCCTGCACACACACACTGGGTGCCGCACACACTGGTGGAATGCATAAGCATTGTTGTATTGGCTTGCATTTAAGCTGAATTTTGAACATGAAAGTTGAATGTGTGAGTATGTGCACATGGCCTCATGGTGTGTTGAGCGGTCTCCCTTGCCTCCTTGGTGGACTGTGGATTTAACTTTTTGAGGGAATAGCTGATTACGCTTTTTTTTCAAAGCATAATAATAATTGTGGTTAAATACATTTTAACACCTCTCACCAAAGGCGAAAATTCAAAAATGGAATTGTGTTTATGAAATTAAAATGCACAAAAAGATGCGAGGGAAAGAAATTGGGTCAAATGCAAGGAGGAAAGACTGCGCGTGCGCAGAATGTAGCTCTACTGGCGGGTTCTAACTAGGAGGTCCTGCCTCCGCTTGCTTGTTATTTCTGCGCAAGTAGCGTGTATGATTGCACGGGGTTTCACTGGCAATTACAATACATCTATGTGCGCGTGTGTGAATGTGAGTGTGAACGCTTGAAAGGTTCCCCTAACAGAGCAGAAAAAAGAATAAAATGACTTTGAGCCAAAGGGGGTATCACAAGACGACGACGTGATTTGCTGAGGGGACACAAATAATAGTAAAACATGATAGCCACGCGTACAATTAAACAACAAAAGGGGAAGCGCGGACGGACCGACGGACGAATGGAGCGAAGGACATTTGACGAAGGGACCAAAATTCATGGAAGGGGGAAAAACTCGGGTGTGGGCTCACATACGCATATGTAGATCTGCATGTAAGTGTGTTTCTTCCTTCAACAAGTAGCCATGTGCATTACCTTGGAGGCGGATGATACCTGCAACTTTTTAATTAAACAAACACTTGTTTCAACTATCTGTTCAACCTGCAACACGTCTGCTTGTGTGCGTAAGTATGAAGGAAGAGCTGAGTTCGAGTCAAAAAAATGATAATCTGTCCTCAATGTGAAGTAGGACTACACCTGACTTGGAAACAGAATGTCCACTGTAAAACCACGACGGGTACCCGATCTTAAGCCGATTTAGACTTTATAAAATAAATAGTGAAACGACATGTGGGAATGCAATGAGCTTGCATGGGGACTTCCGGGCGACCGCTTATGCTCGTCTTCCCAGCCCTTACCTTTCAAACAAGTAGTTGCTGCTCTTATGGGTGTCGGTAGGTCGAGTGCTCGAGATCTGACCAGACCAGAAGGAAGTCAGAAGAGGTTTAAGACCTAAAGCTTGGTCATTTCATTAAGACGCACATCACAAATAGTAGAAACTCTCCCGATAAATTTTTATGTAGTTATAAATAACACATTGGCAGGAACCGTCTGGAATAGTTGTAAAATTGTTGCTTCAGTGTAGCCAGACGAAGTACATACTCACAGATTGCTTACCCCACTTTCTCCACACATCTCCTTCATTAGCAGACCTTTTTTTCGCTAATACAAACCTCGTAAGTTTAACGTCACATGCTTTGCACATAGTTTTTTCGCTCCTAGCTCATTTCCAAAGTGTACTTGCCTCGCGAGGCAAGGTTACTTCTTGTGCTTGCTCCAAGGTCAGTTCATCAGCTTTCTTATTGCCTTCGAAGCCCTTTTGATCCAATGTGCGGAACTGTGTATTCTTTTCCTTTGAAGGCCTGCATCATGCAATGGTTAGCATTTAGACGCAGTGAACTGAAGACTACACTCTGTCGTCGTTGCTCGGCCCCTGATGGATTAAACATGGCCAGAGAAATGGAGAAATGTTTACTTCTTCCCCAATTGAGATTGCAGACCCATATTGTGCTAAATGTGGTTCGTAATTAAACAACTGATTATGGATTCCCATCTCTTCTGATCAATTTGATCAAATTAAAATGGGAGCTCAATCTTGATAATTCTTCGTCAAGTGATGCTCCCGTAAACAACCGCCTCGTCAGCTTTTTCGATACTTATGGCCGGGAGCCAGGGCTATGGAAATGCTGAGTTGACCAGTTGGTGACGCAAGTGCCAGCTATGCCACTTTGGTAGTCTTTGGTAGCTTGCTTCTTCGGTGCGCTTACAAGAGGTTTGTGGATTTTAGTAGACACAAAGAGAAAGAGAACGGTATTGAGGATGCAAAGTTTGTGTTAGTGTTGAGCGCGAGTTACCACAGTAAGCTAGGAAAGAATTCGATCTAATGCAACTGTACCCGTGCTGCACCTCTATGGGAACGAGGAGAGCAAGAAAAAGAATGTGGTACACATCGGCTAGAATGTAAGCGGATCGCTTAAAAGGACATTTCAAAGTGGGTAAAAATACATACACCAACCGTTAAGCGAACGAAGCTCATAGACCTTGGTCAAGAAAGCGCTCTTGTTTTTTAAATACAAGCACTTACATACACATAGACGTGTATATACATATGTATGTAAATGTGTGTATAAAAAATACTTAGGTATGTTAAATTGCGCAGTGAGACGAGAAAAAATTGCGTGCAAACCTCCGCAAGACCAGCAACAACACCAAGCCAAGCACATCATGTGTTTATATGTGTGCTGTGTTGCTGTTGTTGTTGCATTTTTGGCATTATTCTCTCATGCTCATCACTTATTTACGTGGATTGCACCTTTAAAGTGCATTTTTCTTACATGTGCATATGTACATACGTGTATGTATTTGAATATCTGCACGTGCAACATGCAACAGCGGCGTCAGCATCATTGCTGTCGTTGTTGTTGTTATTTTTTATGCATTTTCCGGTCTTTTTGGGTTTTTTTTTTACCTTACTTTTGCTCTTATTTTCGTATTCTCTCATTCATCTTACTCATCTTTTACATCTTTCGTATTTATTTTAATTTGTTGTTGTTGTGTTTTTTTTTTGCAGCTCAAACACCTGCTCGAATCTCTGCCAATTGCCCAACGGTTATAACTCCAGATGCGAACAGAAATTCGTACAGAAACGGCTGATTGCACTGCAGGCCAACGGTCAAAATCTCTACACGGACTCATTTTGGTTCCCGAGCTGTTGCGTTTGCACGATAGCGGCGAATTGAGTGGACGGCAAGGGAGCGCGCGGCACGAGGAGCTGACACAGGAGCATGCAGAGAACGATGCCTTGCGGCGGCTGAAGGATGTTGCGCTGACTTTTGGCGCTTTTATTTTTGCATGCGTTCACACGTTCATTGTTTGATTAATTTATGGAGACTTAAATAATTTATCAACTCAAATTTAATAAATAGCAAACGCCACGGAGGAAAACATTAAGTAAGAAAGACACACACCCATGCGAACACTCCAAATCATTATGACATCAAAATTATAAAAAATAAAACTTTCAACGATCTGTAGTGAGTAAACAATTTGTATTTAGAGAAAACATTTTATAATTTTTAATTTAAAAAATCAAAAATATTTAAAATAAAATAGAAATGTGTTTTATTTATGAGAAACGGCGAAAAGAGTTCACCGTAATATAAAGTAACCTGAGGAGAAAGAGAGAAAACGCTCTTTCTATCCAAAGATGTGAGGTGATGCATACACTCAGAGGGTATGATACTCCCCGCCATCATCCGCCTATCGTTAGCTCTGGCGCCATTTTTATACCAGGTAAGGTACTCGTAGTTTAAATAAACGTTTTATTTCTGGTTAGGAGCAGTAAACTAAAGCCTCCAGTCACCGGTGCCCCGTTTATTGGGAACCGTCTGTAAAGTTATGCAGCGCTACATGCGCACACTTCAGTCATTGGCTGCTTTAAGTTATCGGGTGATGCTAATCATTGATAGTCGGAATACCCTTTCCAGCCTTAACAGATACGTTGATTCTTCTGTAAATTTTCGCAATAGATCTAGGTTGAGAGGTGAGAGTGTCGGTCACAGGTCCCAGGTACAGCACAACAACCTGTTACATGAACTCGTATATAGGACCTCTGTTGCCAACATCCAACACAATACCCAAGTACTAAGTGCTTAGTTTCGACTGTAAAGTATTATCCCTTAGCTTCAGTTTAATCCAAGCCAGTACCCTATACTTCCTCGTAAATAGGGCAAGATCCATTTCAATAGGGTTGTCGCTGAGTTCTAATAGCGGCAGCCGCGCCTCTAACTCCCTCAGCAATCTGTTGGCTGCAAGAATTCAAAGAAGAAATCAGATGAGCATTTAATTGCTCAGAGAACAAAACCAAATATTAGTAGCCGAAAATCGCGTTGTTTTTTTATTGCGCGAATATAGCCGATTTAACAACATTGCGCCATTCGTTTCTTGTTTTTGCTGTTTGGCGGCAATTGGAAATATAAGTACAGGCAGGTCGTTCTATACTTGGTCTTTTCAATGGAGTGGAGGTCTTCCCCTTACTGTGCTTCCACCGGCGAGTACTGCATCGAAAACTTTCAGTGCAGGAGTAATAGCATCCATCTGGATCACATGACCCAGCCAGCGGAGCCGATGATCCTTGATTCGCTGAAATTTATCTATGTCGCCATATAACTCATACAGCTATTCGTTCCGTCGTCTGCGATATTCGCCGTTGCCAACGCGCAGACACCATAAATCTTACGGAAAACTCCTAACGCCGACTCATCAGATGTTGTCATCGTCCATGCTTCCGGGCCACATAGCAGGACGGGAGCGATGAGGGACTTGTAGAGTTTTGTTTTCGTTCGTCGGGAGAGGAATTTACTTCTCAATTGCCCACTTAATCCAAAGTAGCACCTTTTGGGAAGAGTGATTCTGCCTTGGATTTCAAGGCTAATGTGTGCTAATGTACTTTTGGATAAATCCTAATTTTTTTGAACATTTCGCGGGATCAATCGATAACAGCACTTGTTTTTTAACGGCATCAAATGATCAATCTATATTGAATATAATGCACGTCGTTGTCCTAATTGCACGATAGGCCACATGTCATCAATAGTTTCCGGAACAACAACTGATTTCGCCGATCTTCACGAAATTGACGTGGGAGGGATCTGCGACCACGATTGAATTCACCACACCATCGATAAACATTTTCGCTAAGTTAATCTACGTCGGAAGTTGTAGAAGAAAAATATCAGCGCGAAGATGGTCCCAAATTAATTCCGATTCGATTTTGGCCGAGATGTTTATTTCCAGTTACTGTAAACAACAAAAATAGCCATTGTATGTTGTAACATCAAGGGAAGTCAACACTCGTAGTGCTCTTAAGGCGCGCCTCATGCCCCCTCTTCGCTTACATCAGAAAAATATTTAATCCTTTTGTTAACCTTTTTTCCCCAGTTTCGAACGGACACAAAACATTTTAGATAATACATTTTATAATAGTAGATATTTAATTAGAGCTGCGAGTGTTGAAAAGTTTTTAACAGATCCGTTTTCGCCGCAAACACGACTTTATTAAAAATGTTAACAACGGAATTATGAGCAATGAAATGCTGGATGTTTTGGCTGGCAAAAAAGCAAGTCCTTTTAACCCTTTCATCAAAAATAGAATTAAATGTATGGGAATGCCTGTCTGTCTGTCTGTTTGTGTGTACAAGTATACATCATTATAGACCGTAATTATTAACTCTAGAGCTTTTAAATAAATTCACACACACACACACATTTGCTTTTACTACTTCCTTTGTTTCTTTTGTTGTTGGTGTTGTTGTTGCTGCAAAAGCAGTAAGTAGTTCCTCAAAGTGTTTGTGCCTTTCAATTTCCTCTCTGTCTGTCTGTCTATCTCTCAAGGATATTGGCGCGAATTTCAACATTGCTGCTGTTGAACGGTTTCATTATTATTATTAACAAAACAACAACACGTTCAATGCGCTCGTAAAATAAGCCAGAAGTAAATATAACAAAAACAACAACAAAAAGAATTTCAAGTAAAAAAAAAGGAGCGAGAAGGAGCCAAACGAAATTATGCAGTTCAAGCGTTTCGTATGCCATAACAGAGATAATTAAAGGCAGTGGCAGTAGAAGAAGAAGAAGAAGAAGAAGAAGAAGAAGAAGAAGAAACAGCGTAAGCAACAACAATTACAACAAACGGATGTGAGCATACGAGTATGCATACATACATGCATATGTACATATATATATATATATAAATGAATGTGTATGTTTGTTTGCTTGCTTATTATGGCAATCCACATCATTATCTACCACAACCGAAGTGGCTGGAACAAGAAGTGGCAACAACAACAACACCGACAACAACAACAACGAAAACTACTACTACAACTACTACAAAGCACCTCTCGCCACCATTATTAAGAACGTCATTAAGTTTATTGCAGTGACAACAACAACACCAATAATAAAAACAAAATCTACAACAAAAAGAGAGCACAAATTTGCATTGCGCAATGTGAAGAAGTAATGCAAAAACTCAGGCAAAAGCAGCAACAACAATAATGAAAATATTAAATAAGCAAAAAAAAAACAAAAACGAAAACATTACGAACAACAACAACAATAAGAAACTATAATCTCATAAGCAGTCAACTTAAATATGACAGCAAATAAAGAGTAAAAAGCCAATGTATATATTTTTCTTTGTATGTGTGCATGTGTGCGTTTGTGTCAGCTAGAGCAGAAGTGAATACCGCTGACAGCAGCAGCAACAACAATAAGTAGAAGAATGAGAACAAGTCTAGCGGTCAGCATAGCCGCACAAATGTCAGGTTCGATCAAAAGTAACGAAAGAAAGATCCCAAACAACAACAACAACAACAGCTGCACTACTAATCGTTACAACAATAGCAAGCACAATAAAAAGATATCCTTTGTGAAATGTGCAAACAATGGCTAGGCATGGAAGCGACTACAACAACCACGCGTAAGCCAGCAGCGGCAACATTGGCAGGCATCCACCGAGTCAGCGGACTCAGTCAAGCCGTGCCGAGTCGAGCCAAGCAGGAATAAGTAACTACATACATACATATGTACATATATGTATGTATATAAATGCGTACATACACACATATGAAAGTATGTATGTATGTAATAACAATGGAACAAATTTAACATCTGCTCCTTTCATGATTTCGGAAAAGCTGAAAACTCAAAAACTGCAACTACAAAAAAAAAAAAACAAAAACAAAAGCAATGTAATATTATAATTCTACTTGGCAACGGTGTGTACATACAGACAGCCCAGTGAGACTGCGGGAACAAATTTGGAAACCGAAATTTTGAATTTTTGGGTTTCTTCAAGCTGGAATCGGAAATAGTCGTTTGGAGCCGTTATCGAGGTCCGATGCTAAATACATCCTGAAATGTTATATGAAGGGTTATCATCGTGGATTTTCCTTGGCTTTGTGTTAATTTGAGTCTGAATAAGTAGAAGTAATTGCGGCTAAATTTCTCGGGTTTCATGTGAAAGACGCAGCTATTAGTGGTGATGTGGGCCTAATCTCGCCATTTGTGGGCAGACCATGTATAAATGGGGTTCAAGGTCGGCAGCTACGTCGTGTGCAGCGGTGAAAAATAATGATTTCCTAAATGTGGAAAGCCGTAGAAGGAGACGAAACAATTGAATCGAAATTATTAGACATGTTTTGGTCAGAATCGGGGTCGCGATCATAGTACCTAAAATTTGCCTTTATCGCCATTGAACTGCAACATCTTGGAATCAAAATCGAGGATCCATTAAAGTTACGGTTGCTTGCGTCACTACCTTCGCATTACGCTTCCTTTGGGTCACAACGAAGTCATAATAAATGTGTGTGCCTGTGTGAAGAGCCCTCAATGACATATCTACTTTTCGCTCTATCTCTTCTTCTGCTTGTTGTTGTTGTTCTTGCTTTATCGCCCCGCCACACAATCGCGATTCGCTTACGCCGTTCGCCGTTCACCGATGCGCTGAGAACTTTTCGCCTTTGAGCTCACTATGTAACTACAACACCAACCGACTGCGGGTAGGACGACAACTGAGCTGAACAGAGCTGAGCTGAGCTGAGCTGTGTCTGTGAGCGCTCGCATAGAACAAACTGGTGCGCCAAAGGCAGTCGTGCGTACATTCAACTTGTGTTATTTTCAAGTATTTTATTTATTTAAGCGCATACAAATGCACTTCCATATGCACGTATATGTACACATTTATACATGTATGTGTGTGTGTGTGTGTGTTTGCATGTATGTATGTATGTATGTTTGTAAGTGCATACTCAAATAAGTGAATTGCACTTTCCTGTCGCTGCTACTTTAATTTTATAACACTCCTTCGCTGATAGATATTGAGGTGATGGCATTTTCTTATAGGCGCACGACACACATACATATGGACATGTCGTACATGCAGGACAAATGCATTTGCATCTGTTCTCACGTGTTTGCATAGCAAATAGTCAAGGCAAGTCGTGGTTCAAAGATGTCTTTCCACTATCGAATGCACATGAATACACACATACACACATACACACATACACACATACCCT